TAACCCCCTGGCATTATTGTCTTGTTTGTTGTGTTCTATCATTTTGATACTGATTTTACTGTTGTCTTAACACTTTTATTATCATTAAAGAAAAAAAAATTAAATAAGAAAATCTAATCTGAAAATTGTTTTAATTTGAAATCCTACACCGGAAGCAGCCGTTATTCGGCTCGCTAACTTCCGGTTTCTGAAACGCACAGTTGAGTCCTCAACCCACCCGACTCACAACAAACACGCTTTCCACAGAAGGGGGACGACTCGGAGTTCAGAAAAAAATACGTTTCTGTTGTGCTTTTGAACATAGACGCAGATAATTCTAAGTTTTTTTGCGGATAAAATTGTTTAAAAATAATAAAGAAGAGGAAGAAAAAACAGCGTCGCGTGCAGCTTTTTCTTTTAAAAACGAAGCAACTGGAGTGTCCACTTCGCTGTGATGGTAAGCTTCTATCTACTTTTCATGTAACTAAAAGTATATTTTGATCAGGATTTGAAGCTTTGTAAGCTTTCCAAGCTGCAAAGTTTCTAGTTTAAGTATCCTAATGACCCGTGAACAGGTTTGAGGAGGTTAATTCCTCCTTTTCGTCTCTCAGCACGAATTAAAACGAGGTCTGTTCAGTCGAGTTTCACAAGAACCTGTTCGAGTAATACCAGCAGCTTTCATATTATTCATCTTTGTTTAATTGCTGTATTTCTCATTTTAGTTCTTTAATCGCCATGGCATGTTGGGTGGATGCAGACATAATAAATTAGTTCCTGCAAACTCATTTCCTGCCCAGACTTCAGCTCCTGGATCCTAAATCAACCATTTCCTTATCGTGGTCCAGCTTGGCCCTCCATCTCCTTTACACAACTCTTATTTCTTTTATCTCGTCTCCCCAGAAGCAAGAGTGTGGGTCATTCCTGCTGAGAAACTCTGCTGGATCATTTTTCCAGGTTTATTTGTTGCAGGTGTTCCTCTCGTTTAACTGGAAATGTTAAATGAAGTAAATGTCATAAATAGTTTAGCCTCGGAGTGAACGAGTTGCTCTCTTTGATGGAGCTGGAACTCATTCAGACTCCGTTAGCTTGTTTAAACTCAAAGCCTAACACTCCTTCGAGGAATGCATATCGCCCGCCACCCGAGTTTTCAACCGAGCCCACCTTAATAATGAGAAGGGGCAAAATTAAAACTACTGTAAAGGAGTGTGGCACGAACGTTTACGCATTATCTTATGAGACGTGTTTGCTCTTGGAGTGTGCTTTGAGGAGGACTCTCAGCTGGGATGCACGATGTTGGATAAATGTCCAATATCTGATACAATACAGTTTTTTTTTCCCCTAGACCTACTTACAAAGACTACATCGCTTTCTCTGCTGTGGAATTAAAAGACATTATTCTGTAATGTAACACTTCAACTTGGATTATGTTTAATGTCAGATTTATTCATGACGTCATAATAACGTTGTGCGTTGTCACTGGGTTGTCGTACAATAACTGCGCCTTGCTCACAAAATTAAAGGGAACGCTAAAATAACACATCCTAGACCTCAATTAATTAATTATTCTCATTGACAAACTTTATTATTAGCACAATGGAATTGATTGAGAAGAAAATAACACAAAAAGTATCAATGTAGATCAAAATTAGTACACCATGGAAATCTGGATTTGGATTCAAACTCGATGTGAAAGTGGAAAATAACATGACAGGCTGGTTCACCGTCAGTGAATATCCCTCAAGTCTGAGGCTCAGTAGTGTGTGTGTGTGGCCTCCACGTACCTGTATGACCTCCCAACAACGCCTGGGCATTCTCCTGATGAGACGGCAGATGTTCTCCTGAGGGATCTCTTCCCAGACCTGGATTAGAGCATCAGTTAGCTCCTGAACAGTCTGTGGTGCAATGTGGCCTTGGTGGATTGACCGAAACATGATGACCCGGATGTGTTCAATTGGATTCAGGTCTGGGGAACAGGTCCATAACATCAATGCCCTCATCAGGCAGGAACTGCTGACACACTTCAGCCACATGAGGCCATTGTCGTGCATAAGAAGGAACCCAGGGCCCACTGCACCAGCATATGGTCTCACAATGGGTCTGAAGATCTCATCCTGGTACCTTATGGCAGTCAGGGCACCTCTGACTAGTACATGGAGGGCTGTGTAGCCATCCTAAGAAATGCCTCCCCACACCATGACTGACCCACCACCAAACCGGTCGTGCTGGAGAGTGTTACAGGCAGCATAACATTCTCCACGGTGTCTCCAGACTCTGTCATGTCTGTCACATGTGCTCAGTGTGAGCCTGCTTTCATCCGTGAAGAGCACAGGGCGCCAATGGCGAATCTGCCAATTTTGGAGTTCCCTAGCAAACGCCAATCGTCCTGCACGGTGTTGGGCTGTAAGCACAGGCCCTATATGTGGACGTCGGGCCCTCATACCACCCTCATGGAGTCTGTTTCTGACACTTAGAGTGGAAACAAGCATATTAGTGCATGGAGTGCTAGAGGTCATTTTGTAGGGCCCTGGCAGTGGACCTCCTGTTCCTCCTTGCACAAAGGACGAGGTAGCGGTCCTGCTGCTGGGTTGTAGCCCTCCTACGGCCCCCTCCATGTTTCCTGGTACCTATTCCATGCTCTGGACACTGTGCTGAGAGACACAGCAGATGTTTTTGCCACCGCCGCTTGCATTGATGTTCCATCTTGGATTAGCTGCACTACTTGAGCAACTTCAGTGGGCTGTAAAAAACGTCTCACGATGCCTTTTATGCGTGACAGCACTGACAAAATGAAAAAGTGACTAAAAGTTCAACCAGAAAGGACGAGAACAGAGACTTGACCTTTGGTCACCACCTGCAGAATCACTCTTTTTTTTTAATAGGGGTTGTCTCATTCCACCTGTTGTGTTCTCCATTTGCACAGTAGCAGCTGAAACTGAGTCACAATAAGTGTTACTATCTAACTGGTGGCATTGATTCCACAAAGGTGTGACTGATTTGGAGTTACATTCTTTTGT